TAATTTAATACAATTCTGACACAACCCAGAGTTAGCATGAGACCCCACAGGTTAGGAGCTCAGTCCCACAAGACTTCCCCTACTTCAGATGCCAATCACAAGTCCAGGGCCAACCGTAATTCTGACTGACCAGTTATAATGGCGGGGGGTTCCCCCAACACCTTCCTCAGGTTCAATAATTTGCTAGAATGGCTCACAGATCAGGAAGGCACTTTACTTACTAGTACCAATATTTTACAAAAGATACAATTCAAGAACAGCCAAACAGAAGAAATGCATTGGGCAAAGTATGGGTGCGTGTGTGCAAAGCTTCCGTGCCTTCCTCATACCACTTCCCCAGGACCTTGATGTGTTCACCGACCTGGAAGCTCTCTGAACCCCATGGTTTAGGGTTTTTTATGGAGGCTCCATTATGCAATGCTGCTTTATTAAATCATTGGCCATTGGTCATTGACTCATTCCCTGGAGGTGGGGGCTGGGGGACTGAAAGTTCCAACCCTCTAATTACTTGGTTGGCTCCTTTGGCAACCAGCCCCCATCCTGAAGCTCTCTAGTGGCTTTTAGACACCAGTCATCTCATTAACATAAACTCAGGTAAGGTTGAAAGGGGCTTATTATGAATAACAGAAGATGCTCCTCTCACCCCTATCACTCAGGAAATTCCATTGGTTTTAGAAGCTCTAGTGCTAGGAACTGGGACAAAGACCAAATATATATTTTTTATTATATCACAACCTATTTATCTGACCAACCCTACTTTTAGACAGTAGATTGACCAAGATTACTTTTTAAGATTCCTTTTGATGCTTGATTTCAGTTTAGTACCACTCAGCAGAGAAATGGAGATGGAGGAGAGGAATTTGCTTCTGGATTCCCAAGAGCACTGACATTAACAGTGTTTATTAAATACATATTTTGTCTCATTTTGTGATTGGCCATGGAATTGTTACTGAACTAGGCTCATTTTGCCCAACACACTACTGTGCCAATCACCAAGACAATGAGTTTGCAGCAGGGAAAGGGTTTATTCACAAGGCAGTCAAGCGAGGAGACGGGAGAACAAGTTTCAAATCCGCCTCCCTGAAAATGGCACTTAGAGAAATTTATGGGATAAAGGGGCATGGTGGTCTGAAGTGTGGGAATAGATGATTGTAGGTAAGGAGAAGTGAAGTAATTGATGATCTGCACAAGCATAATCAAGCTTCGTGGCTCTTCTTAGGACACATGTTCACAAAAGGGTGGCATTAGCATGATCTGAGGGTGGAGTTTTCAGCCCCTTGACATCAAAGGTTCACCTATCGGGCATTCCTGCAGGCCCAGTTGATGAGTTGCTGGTCTTAACCAGCCTGAACTGGACAAAGAGTCTACTCTCAGTTCCTGAAAAACAACTTAAGCATCTGTTACCATGGTGACCCAAGCATCAGAGATATTATCTATAGGGTGTGTTATAGTAGTGCATTATCTAACTGCTTTTGCAAACAGACAACTAACTGAGTGTAGTTGAAGCAAGTTGGCCCCGGTTTCAGAATTTTTGGTATAGAATAGCACTAGATGGAATAGTTATATAGGAGAAGATATAGAGACTATCTCCATGGACAGGTTTTGGATTAAGAAGTTACTTTATTAAGTAAATTAAATAAATTCAACTTATTAAATATTTTTGTGTTGATAGCCATGTTCTCTTTGCCTCATCTGCTCTAAGAGAAAAGTACTTTCTGGCCTACACTGAGGAGAGACTCTAGATAGAAGGGAATTTTAGACCTCAGGGGATGTGCCATTGACCATGTCTTCTGAAGAGTAGGAGAGGGCGGATCTTTCTTGTTATGTCCTATAGAAATGAACTCCCAAAAGATCCACATGTAACTAATTTTAGGGCACCTGTGCAATCAGATTTTTCTCTACGCAAGAGTTGAGTGCCTTAGCAGCACTGAAAAGAAAAATCCTTTCATGTGGTCTTTCTTTGCTTAAGTACTTTCAATCATGTCCTCTGAGATTTAATATCCTTCTGATCTTCCAAATCCAGTTTTAATTTGATCAGTTTAAGTTAGGGAAGGATTTTAAAAGACAACACTAATAATGTAGCATCGGGATAATGTAGGTAGGAATCATTGGTCCTAAATGTACTTCAGTAAAGTTTTTTCGCTTTGCTTTGGCTTGAAAATGCAGCCTGGGGGAAATAAGCTGCAGTCTGTTTTTTGGTGTTAGCTACATTTTGTTGTTAAGTAAAGCTTCCTATTCTGCTAACAAATGCTTGTGCCTGGGGCAGTATATTTATTGTATTCCTTCAATAGGAAACCTGATTTGTAATTAAAGATAAAACCTAATGTCCTCTTTGTGAGTAAATTGATTGTTGTAGAAGTGTGGATGGCGTTGCCCGGGAGACATTCTTCCTTTGTTAAAAATATTTAGAGAGCCATCACGTAGAGCAGCACTGCTCTATATGATCAAGCCACCAGCCACTGGCACTTGAAGTCTAAAATTAAAGTTAAAAATTCAGTTCCTCAGTTGCACTAGCCACATATCCAGTGCTCAGTAGTCATATGTGGCTAATGTGTTATTGATATTTGGGGCCAGATAATTCTTTGTTGGGGAGAGGGAGCTATCTTTTATATTGTAGGATGTTTAGCAGCACCCCTGGCCTCCAACTGTTAGATGCCAGTAGCACTTCCCAGTCATGACAATCAAAAAATATCTGCAGAAATTGCCAGATATCCCCTGAGGGCAAAATCCCCCTGGTGGAGAAGCACTGGCCTAGTGGCTACAGTTTTGGACAGTGCAGATATAGAACATTTCCATTATCGCAGACAGTGCTGTTCTAGAATAATCCCTAGCAAAGTTTGGTTTGGGGCATTTTATAGATTAAGCCTTTTGAGCTTTAGAGGAATCACAGTGGTCTTCTGGTACAAAGCCTTGGGAAACTGAGGCACAGAGAGGTTTTGGGTGACTTAGGGTCCATAGCATGTAAGTGCCAATCTAGAGTTCTGGACTTCAAGTTCATGCAGCCTAGAGGACAAACTTCTGATTTTCATTCAAACCTACGTCATCCTTCCTGTGTTCTTGTTCTCAGTGTTGGCCAGAGGGGAGGAGGGAGTCCTGAGAAATGGGACTGGTCCAGTCCTGAGACTCTCAGAGAAGCAGATTCCTTACTTGAGCCCTGGGTACACTTGTTTTACTTCTCCGTGGCCTGTGGCTTTCTCTAAAGGCCCTGTCTCTAGACTAGGGTTGGAGGGGTGCTGGGACATCTGGTGGGTCCACTGTTGCTCTATGAGAAGGCAGAGTTCTATTGGGTTTCCCAGTTCCATCAGTGCAGAGAGATTGGTAACACATTCCTGGGACCATGGAAGACTGGAGTTCTGTAAAATTCCCTCTTGTTAGCTTTTAAATCTCTTGTGTCTCCTCTGTGTGCTTCCCTGTGCTCTATGGCAAAGACTTAATATGAAATGCCTGGTGGGGCCGGCCCGGTGGCACAAGTGTTAAGTGCGCACGCTCCGCTGCAGCGGCCCAGGGTTCGCCAGTTCGGTTCCCGGGCACGCACCGACGCACCGCTTGGCAAGCCATGCTGTGACGGCGTCCCATATAAAGTGGAGGAAGATGGGCACGGATGTTAGCCCAGGGCCAGTCTTCCTCAGCGGAAAAAAAAAAAAAGGGAGGATTGGCAGATGTTAGCACAGGGCTGATCTCCTCACAAAAAAAAAAGAAATGCCCGGAGGTTCTTATCTTCAGAGGTCACAAGGAAGCAGAGAGCCCTGGAGACTTGTCTGTAGAAAATTTTGAGGAGGGAGGAGGAGTCTCCACCAGGGTGGTGGTATCCACAGCTGGAGGAGTCAGAAAGTAGGCTTAGCTGGGGGAGTCTGGTGGGCAAGCTGGCTGGGCCTGCAAAGTGACCCAGGGGCTTTGATGTGCCCCAGGATCTCTTCTCCCTCCATTAGTCCTATATGCCTCATAAAACTCCTGATGACTCTTCTTCAATCACTGATTTTATTCTCTCACTCCTCTGCTCCAAAACCTTCAATGGCTCACTGCTGCCATTTCACATTTGCAACCACTTAGTCTTATACTCAAGGTCCATTTCTCTTATATAGAGATCCTCTCTTTCTTTGTAAGAGTAAAAACTAGTTTTTGTGCACATGAAGGCTTTACTGTTACTGTGGTTTGCAAAATTCTTCTGTTGGGGTTGGGGGTTGGTGGTGGTAAAGGCTTTCCTCAAAGCTGTTGGATGTTAATAGCTTAATCAGGAGGAAGTTTTGTTTCTGGTGATACTTTGTTGAGTCAGTAGCTTTGACAACTACTTAAAAATCAATACACACGGGGCCAGCCCCGTGGCTTAGCGGTTAAGTGCCCACGCTCTGCTACTGGCGGCCCGGCTTCGGATCCCGGGCGTGCACCGACGCACCACTTCTCCGGCCATGCTGAGGCCACGTCCCACATGCAGCAACTAGAAGGATGTGCAGCTATGACATACAACTATCTACTGGGGCTTTGGGGGGAAAATAAATAAATAAATAAAATCTTTAAAAAAAAGAAAAAAAAAAAGGCAGATGAAGAATTGCGTTTATGTAAACTCGCAGGAAACCCTGAGCTGTTGGCCGGTTTGGTTCTGTAACCTGTGGGCCCGGTGAGCTGTGGGCTAGGTCAAAGGCCAGTGTTCTGAGGAGCCAGCTGTCGTGTTTAGCTGGAAATAAGCTAATGTGTAAACTGGCCTCGAGGTCTTGTTAAGTTGCTTCATCTTCCCAACCTCAGTTAAAAGAAGTTACTTTATTTCAGAGTTTGGTGACCGTCCACTATTTCATTGAACTGTTGATGTTTTCTTTTGGGAAACCAGCCTTCTTGGGTGTCTCCATGGTGAAGGGGAAGGTATTTTGAAAGTTGCACCTTTGGGGGCAGGTTGTGATTTGAGTAACAGGAGAGTGGGGAGCTGGGAGGTCCGAGGTCCTGCGGGTCAGCATGGCTGTGGCCACTGTTGTTGTTCACTAGCTCTGCGTCTCCCCTTTGCTCCACAGACCAATGAGTGGAACAAGAATGATGACCGGCTGCTGCAGGCTGTGGAGAATGGAGACGCGGAGAAGGTGGCCTCACTGCTGGGCAAGAAGGGAGCCAGTGCCACCAAGCACGACAGCGAGGGCAAGACCGCGTAAGCTGAAAAGATTGGTTTCTAAGTGTGCCAGTTCTGGGTTCTCAGAGTGTTCTCTGGAATCCTTAGGATCGATAGGGGAACTTCACAAGTGCCTTTAGGGGACTTTGTGAAATTACTGTTTCCCCAACCCGCACGTTAAAATATGTAAGAGGATATTTTAATCTACATAGTTCCTTTCTCTTCAAGTTCCAAATTATACATTGGGCTTTACGTTGAATGGCTATATTTGTTCCCAGGTATAACCAAAGATTTCATCAGAGAAGAAATAGCACCAGGATTGCAGCCAATTGATAGGTGGGAAATGAATTCTCTCCTTGATTAGATACAGCATAAAAGAGAGAGCAATTTTTTTCATAACCTTCAAACCCTACTATTTATATTATTATTTCTTTTAAAAGCCCTTCCTTAACATAGATTAGTAATTACATGAATGGTATGAATTTTGCTTTATGATTTGCCATATGTGGTACTCTTGCCCACCATAATTAAAACCGTATACTATTTAAGTGTGTGTGTGTGTGTATTTATTTGTTGTACTATCCTTACTTTGGTTGTATTATAGAGAGATCATTGACTTTGGAGCTAAATAGACTTCTAATCTGGACTCTATCATTTATGAGTTGTTTAGTCTTTAAATCTTAATTTATTCACTGTAAAATGGAGATGATAGTATTCAACCACTAGCCTGGTTGTGAGTATAAAACAAGATACTGATCTTGGTTGGGTGGCCCCAGAAGCAGGCTCTGAGGCAAGGATTTGAGTGCAAGTAGTTTCTATAGCCAGTGATCCCAGGAAGTGCACAGTAAGGGAATGAAGCCTATATTGCATGTTGTGGACAGGTTATTGCTATGGACAACTGGAACCCATTCCTGCTGAGGACCTCTGGGAATCTGTTTAGACTTAGAGCAGGGGTTGGCCAACTATGGTCTGCTGTCTGTCTTTTTTTTTTTTTTTTTTCCTGAGGAAGGTTAGCCCTGAGCTAACATCTGTTGCCAATCTTCCTCATTTTCTGCTTGAGGAAGGTTAGCCCTGAACTAACATCTGTGCCAGTCTTCCTCTACTTTATATGTGGGTCGGTGCCACAGTGTGGCTGATGAGTGGTGTAGGTCTGCACCCGGGATCCAAACCTGTGAACCTGGGACACCGAAGCAGGAGGGCACTGAACTTAACCACCACGCCAAGGGGCTGGCCCCCTGCTGTCTTTGTAAATAAATTTTATTGGAATGCAGCCAAATCCATTCATTTAGCATTGCCCATGGCTGCTTCTGCACTGCAAAGGCAGATTCGAGTAGTCAAAACAAAGACTCTGTGGCCCACAAAGCCTAACGTGTTAACTGTGTGGCCCCTTACTGAAGTAGTTTGCTTACCCCAGGTTTAAGGTATACCTCAGAGTTATCCCACCCAAGGGGTTAGGAAACTGGAGTATCTATCCCTGATCTCCTGTCCCTCCAAGGTTGAGTGCTGCTCCTAGGGGCCATAGTGCTCATGGCCAGAACAAGTCCAGGAGGATATGGGAGGGACACCTATAGCTATAGATGCCATATGTAAGGAGCTAACATAGTACCCAGTCCACAGTAGGCACTTGATAAAGCCAGCTCCCTTCCCTTCTTCTCCTAGATGAGTGGTCCTCAATCCTGGCAGCTCCTGCATTAGAATCACCTGGGGTGATTTTAAACAAGTATTGATGCAATGCCCACCCCATGTTCTGAATCATTTGGTCCAGGGAGAGGCCCAGGAATTAATAGTTTTTCAAGTGTCCCATGTAGTTTCAACCAGAGAGAATCATTATCTATAAACTAGGTTGACTGTAAATAGAAGGATAGGTAGTGAGAATAAAAGGCAAAATCTCAGAAGATTGGGCATCACATTTTAGCAAATTTTGCCAATTAAACCCTCTTCCTAGCACCCATTGGACCTCACAGCATAGACACCAATCCTATTGTTTTGGAGGCCATAAGATAGCTTAACGGGCTGAGCTCTGTCTAGGGACCAGGCTAGTTGGTACACAAAGGGAAGAGGGAAGCGTTCTCACTTGGATCAGAGTCCAGTCCTCTGGGAGCTGGGCTTGTCCTCTCTGCCAAAGCCCCACGTTGGGCTCCCCCTCAGTTTTGGTTTGACCTTCCACCTTTGCAGAGGCCTGTCTCTCAGGTGTGGGGCACAGGGCCATATCCCGGTGGACTCTGACTCGGTAGTCAGTACTCCCAATGTAGGCGGGCTTTGGTTGTTGGCTAATATTTTGTTGACTCAGTTCCTTACTCAACCTTATGTAATTTTTAGTTCTTAACCCTCTTGCCCTCTAGATGGTAATTTCCTTGATAGAGCCAGCTTTCTTGGCTCCTGCTCCTCCTAGTCCAGCTTTGCAGGTGTCTGCACAAGACAGCCTTCTATAGCCATCCCAGTGAAAGGGGAGATAACTGTTTCTGTTAGTTTTGTCTAGGACAGTACTCACTAAAAAGAAGATGGGAAATTTACATTAGCAGCTTAGCCACAATTGTGATCACATTAATAAATTTACACCTTCTTTTTTTTTTTTTTTTTTTGAGGAAAATCAGCCCTGAGCTAACATCCATGCTAATCCTCCTCTTTTTGCTGAGGAAGACCGGCTCTGAGCTAACATCTGTTGCCAATCCTCCTCCTTTTTTTTTTTAACCCCCAAAGCCCCAGTAGATAGTTGTATGTCATAGCTGCACATCCTTCTAGTTGCTGTATGTGGGCCGCGGCCTCAGCATGGCTGGAGAAGCGGTGCATCGGTGTGCGCTGGGATCCGAACCCGGGCCGCCAGCAGCGGAGCGCGCGCACTTAACCACTAAGCCACGGGGCCGGCCCATACACCTTTTGTTAATGAGACATTTATTATGTATAGAGTAGACAACCAGAATGTTATATTCTCTTCTTTCTCTCTTTTTTAAATTGTGGTAGAGGCCAGCCCAGTGGCGCAGCAGGTAAGTGTGCCGTGCTCTGCTTCGGTGGCTGGGGGTTCTCAGGTTGGAATCCCGGGCGTGTACTGATGCACTGCTTGTCAAGCCATGCTGTGGCAGCGTCCCATATAAAGTAGAGGAAGATGGGCGCAGATGTTAGCCCAGGGCCAATCTTCCTTAGCAAAAAAGAGGAGGATTGGCATTGGATGTTAGCTCGGGGCTGATCTTCCTCACAAAAAAAAAAAAAGAAATTGTGATAAAATATACGTAACATAAAATTTATCATTTTAACTGTTTTAAAGTACATTAAGTACATTCACAGTGTTATGCAACCATCATCATCTAGTTCCAGAAATTTTTCATCACCCCAAAAGGAAACCTTGTACCCATTAAGCAATGACACCACTAATCTGCTTTCTGTCCCTATGAATTTGCCTATTTTGAATATTTCATATAAGGGAATCATACTGTATGGGGCCCTTTGTCTCTGGCTTCTTTCACTTAGCATAATGTTTTTAAGGTTCATCCTTCTTATAGCACGAGTCAGTACTTTATTCTATTCTCTATTAACGGTAGAAATGCACACAGCAGTTATACATCACCACCCCCATTTTGCAGGTGATAAAATTAAGGCTCACATGATACAGAAATCCCTGAATTAACTCTGGAACCAGTTCTAACATCTTTACTTTTGCACTTACAAGTCCACCATTTTTTCCTTTGGTGACTGTTACCTAGAAAGTTAGAGGAACTATAAGAAAAAGAAAGAGGAGGTAATGATTTTTTCAGTGCAAGATTTTCCATAAGTAATCATCTGTTAACACTTAATTTTTCTGCTTGGAATATTCCTTTTGATGATTAAAGTTATTAACTGATATCTATAAGAATTTAATTATCAAAGGCACCACGGAATTAAATCTCTCTGGCTTCATATTTTCATTCAAATCTAATGGTCTTAATATTCAGAATGGGTGGGGGGCTGTGGAAATGGAAACCATCTCCTATCCCTTTGGCATCATGTAACAACGCAAGGCCGAGGGTTCTGTTGTAACAGGGAGCCCCAAGCAGTTTTGTTCCTTCGGCTTCAGCCTCCTTACCTTTGGAAACCTGGTCTTCTGTATTTGGGTTGATCTAATTTCTGTATTCCTGCCTGAGTGTATATGTGTCTCCCTTACACTTGAAAATTTTTCTCAAGTTATGGAGACTTTTTCGTTGTTCTTGTTCTTTCTACATGCATTTGGTTTGGTAGCAAGTGAACTGGTAACTTCCTAGAAGCAGTTCTGAATTCATGACAGACCAATGTGGTGTGTCCCCTCTGCTGAGCTCTTGGCTCCACCAGCCGCATGGAGCTTGCAGGGCCAGCATGTGTTTGTGGGCATGTAAGGAACGTTTTGCATTTGTCTTTAAAGGGTAAGACTGGGTCACCCACTTGAAAGTTAGGTTCTTGGCAGTGCGTGGCGTCGTTCTCTGCCTGCCCACGAGGGTTCACCATTCAATTTAGACACCTCCATGTCAAAATGAAGCTGGAGGCCTGTTTTCTAGGCAGCCTTTGTGATAACCCATTTTGTCATTTTGCTCAGTAACACATAATGTTTTTTATTGCTTGACAGCCTGGAGTCCTGATTGTGGCTTTCAACGTCCTCCCACGGGCCCCGCCCTTACTTAGCTATGTGTTCCCTCTAGCTTGCCTTCTAGTGGGGGGGGGCTATCTGCTCCCTGCCTTCCCCTCATGTGAGAGCATCCAGATATTTGCCCAGCTTCTATGTCCAGTCCAGAATGCCTTCCTTCCAGATGTTCTCAATGCTTTTTTGATTTTTCTTCTCTTTGAAATACTGGAATCTTGATTTAGAACTTGATGTATTTTATTGTATTCAGAAAACAAGAACAACAACAGAAAAGTTTCTACAGCTTAAGAAAGATCTTTGTTTTCTGAAAGATTTGAATCTCTTACACCAGGGTAAGCTCCCTGAGGACAAGGATACTATGATTGTTGTTGTGTTAGTCTTTTCCACTGTTCCAGGCACAGAAGAGGCATTCACTTGGTATTTGTGGAAGTGACTTTTGAACATGGTTCTTAAG